ATATTGAACTGTATCCGAATCCCGGACTGGTCAAGAAATTCCTTGAGATGATTGCTCGCAACGAACAGTATCTGCGGCGGAAGGCGCCCAGGTGAGTTTTACCAAAAATTCAGTATTGGGACTGGGATAAATATGCTGGGACTTTGCAAGTAGGCGCGGCACATCCACATATACAAGAAGACGAGCAGCTTATTCTCCGACCCCTGAAATATATGTATATGGTTTTTCTGCCGACTCGATAAGATAAGAATAATAAGCCTATAAATACTGTTAAAATCTGAATAATTAATATCAGATGCGAAATATGTGTGAAATGAGTTTTTCTGAAGGTAGAAAAACTTGTATTATAAGTCGAAAGGGTTTGATAGCAGTATTCAGAAATACTAAATAAAAACTTGAATAAAATGAATAATTTATTAGAGATTATCTCACACAAGCAATAAACTATAAATTCAGGATCATAAATATTAACACAAATCAGTTTAAATTGTATTAATATATGTTAACAATTGCTTAAAACTTATCCTAACTACGTGAAAGCCAGTTTCAACCAGGCATCGAGAGAAATAACTAAATAAAGTAATCGAATGCACTTTGCATTTTGCAGAGTATTTCCGCTCAGCATATTCGAGGTGGATGAGAATTCGCCGGTCCCGCACGATAAAACAGAGCTGCAGGAGTTCCTGCGCACCGGCAAGGCCATACCCTTTCACAAGCGAGTGTGCGCCAGTTGCCACGGCGTGCCCAAGTCCAAGGAATGGATGGCGGCCAATGAGACGGACGAGCTGAGTGTGTTTCACATAGGCAAACGCACCGGCTACTATGTGCACTGGGAGCCCATCTATATTGGCACCCATGCGGATCCCCACTACGACGAGCGGCTCAGCTGGGAGGGCAAGAGCGACAAGATGACGCAGGTGAGTGTTCTGGCTTGTATATATCGTTTTGGGCTTGTGTCTAATCTGATCTTCAGGGTTACTCGCTGTGCGTGCTGGACTACGAGTTCCACATACTGGACAATGCATTTCTGGTGCACAAACCGGGCATCAAAGTGCTGAAAAAGGACAATCGGCGAGCGATGCTGGCGGGCAAGACGAATCAGCTGATACGCAAGATCATATATCCGGAATTGAAAATCATGTACGGCATGCGCAAGGGCTGTGCGATATAGTAACTAATCCTGAAGCACAGTTGAGCACCGACTTCCTCAAGCGAGACGTTTGCGAAAAGACTACAACAACAACTATTGAAAAAACAAAAACAGCCAAGCACACAATTTATATTCGCAATGCTATAGGAGCCAATGATGCCCCTCCAGACGATACTATTCCGGAGGCCTTTCCTAATGGCATTAGCATTGTGTGTGTGTGTGTGTGTGTGTGTGTCTGTATTTTACGCCTAGTTAGTGTTAGTTAGTTAGCTTAGGTTTAGAGAATTACTTAGGTTTATAGACCAGAAGAGTTCGGAGCGGGTGTTTTTCTACTCTATGCATAAGCGAAGCCTTAGGAGCACGGCTTAAGTACGTAAAACGTAGCTAGTTGTTGGTTCTTTTTGTAAATGCCGATTAAAGTTAGTTAGCCAGGAGCTGCCATACAGCTGGAATGGGTGAATCCTCACCGGAAACAGCTGAAGAGTTTTCTTAAGCGCTTTGATCTTCACATTGGCTCATATCGTTTCAAGCAATGCGCCATTCACACAGAGCGAGGCAGGAATCGCATTGGGACTGCAAAAAAGGCCTCTGTTGTCCACGGGCTGCATTGACTTTTTGCTCACGGGCAGTCATTATGATTTAGTTGTAGTCCTACTTCCAATTATTATTTAAGCCATTTAATTTATGTCCTGCCTAAGTTAGTTAGCCGATTTATCGTGAATGGAATTTCATTACAATTAGTTACAGTTATGTCTTAATTTCCGCTTTCCTTCAACAATTTTCGTGGAATACTCAAGTATTTTTACCCATTATCCCATTATAACGAATAACATACAATTTTACTATTTACCAGCTGCCATCAAATGGTTGTTAGGTGGATTAGCTCTTCAAGATATTTACATATTTATAGAGATTCCTAGCCACAATAGTCTAACCATTTATATTTGTACGTAGGTCACCAACTGGACCGTCTATCGTCTTAAGTTTCAAAGCGAATAGAAAGGGCAACAAATAGGTTTAGAAACTAATTTTAAAATTAGACAGCAACAATAGAAGAAGCCGCTACAAAAAAGGTTTAATTATTACAAGAATTAAATAGACTTGAGAAATTGCAAAAAAAGAATTAAAAACGTTTAAACTTAGAATGCTGAATAAATAAAAAAAAAAATACATACGTATAATGCGTACAGACTTACGAGTATAAAGAACTAAAAGAGAATATAACAAAAATGCAATTATACAAACCTTGGGAATGAAGTTCAAGTTAATGCCTAAAATTAAACAATTAACAAAACAATTAATTAAAAAATACGTATTAAAGCGTAATGCGTAAATGCAAACCGTGATATTTGTACTAGTAAAGGCGAAGATTAATTTGAGCATTAATTAAATTTAATTAAAACTTAAGCAGTAAGAAACGAACCGAAATGAAATCAAGCTAAAAACAAACTGAAAATCATATGCATTAAACTAGTTTTGTATATGCTTTTTTTTTTTAGTGTTGAACTTAAAGTCAAACTTGTGCACATATAAATGTTAAAAACATAACGAGGAATACATTGATAAACAAAGACATGCTAAAATCTTGGCAAAAGGGGTTTGTTGTTCAGGCCTTTAACCCACTATATACTATGGAAATTAAAGGGCGCTTTTTTGTTGGGAGTTGACAGTTGGAAATTTGATAATTGCCGATGCAATTATGTAATGTGTAAATGTGAAAACATTTTTGAGAGTGTCTTGGGAACAAAATACAAAAAAAAAAAGAAAAAAACAATTGGTGTTTGTATCTATTGTATGTCTACCTATAAGTCTACACATAAAGCAGTTAGCAGTAACTTTTCAATTCGCTAAACAATTTTATGCGCTCAACTGTTACAAAAATTTAGTACATCCAAATAAATTTCAATTAGCCAGACAAAAGTAAATATAAAGTAAAAATCAATATCAAATAAATAAAATGAAATCAAAAAAACTAATAACGAAAACAACTATTGAAAAAGTAGCTAAAATAGACCCGAAACAAAACTGTTACAAAAACATAACATTGAAAAAAAAAACATATATTATTGATAAAGTATTAAAGTGCCTTAGAGATCGAAAAGAAATAAGAAAAAGAAAAAAAAAATCGTAGGTAATGCGGCAGTGAATTGTATTTTCGTTGTATTTTTATAAATAATTCACAGACACCTTTTGTTGTGTTGGCTTATCGGCATTTTGTTCAGGCCAAATTACATAAGTGGAACACGATTGTCGTAAGAGACAAAGAGCATTATTTTTGTATGTAAATAATTGATAGTAATTAATTATATATAAATTCATGTATTGTGTACATCAAAATGAATTAAGCTATTTGTACATATTTGTATGTGTGTGAAGATTACAACAATTTATTTACTTAAACAAAACGTTTTGTTATGGTTTTCAAAACGACTTGATATTTAAGCTGCAGTTAGTCGAAGTCATGCCCAATTGAATGAGTCTTCTTATAGCTAGCCTGCCAATATTATGTTTAAAAAACTATTATTACGTAATATAATTATTATTTTGATTTAATTGAATATTTCATATTACTATCCAGCACTAGGAAGTATGGTCATTATCGTAAATCTTTCTTAGGCCATAAATATAATGAAGTCTACAACAGTCCTAGGCCTTTTATATTCATTTGAGCACAGCATTTGATCGCTTCAAACTTTATTTGATTTCTAAGATTTTTGGCAAGAACTACGCGACAATTGCTGAGCAAGGACTATTAGCTGAAATGTACGAAAGTTCACAAAACTGATGTGAAATATATCTACGCATAAGTATTGTAAAAATAAAAATAAAAACAGTTTAAAATGGATCACAAGATTTGCGTATTTAATAATATAACTGCAAGCTGAGAGGCTGTAACTATTTTTTATTAATATTTTCTAAACATAGCTTAAAACTTTTTCTATCAACTTTTCTATGCAGTTTTCAGACTCTTTCTAAACTATTTATACATGTGGATAGTAAGATCTAAACTATCCCAACTTAGCATAATCAAAAATTGCCCCATAACGAGGTAAGTTAAAAATATTATGGCTTGTTTTTAATGAACAGCATCAGAAAATCAATATCAAATGCAAGACACGCCAATATCTTGTAGCTAATCTTGCTAGCAAACATATTTTTGGTTTTCTTTGCATTATAAGCAGGCAAGAAAAACCCCCACAGCTGCTCACGTTAAGAGCTGAATTCAAGACCAGATTAGCCAAGACAGCGCCGTGCCGAATCTGAGACAATGGTGTAGCCCCGCACTTGGCACAGCCGTAGGCTCGAGCTGGCATGGGCGCAGCTCGTCCCCGTCCTTGACTTTAAGAGCTGTCTTGAATTTTTCTGGTTTTCTGCCAGATCTTTTTCTGCTTAAAACGAAAATAAAAGTGCCTAAAATGCAAATACGATGGATAGCATTTAAGCATTTATTTAACATAAATTAAGCACAAACTTTGATTAATACTAAGGCAGTTGCTAGCTCAGCTAAAACAACCTGTTGGTATCTGGCTCTGCCACTGACTCATCTCGAGCGAGACGAGCTTTTTTTTTTGTCGAATTGATGGCGATGGGCCTTTGCTAGAAGCTGCCGGCTCCCTCGCTCGCTCGCTTGGCTCGTTTTATTTTGTTGTTGTTATGCGCTTTGGTTATTTATTAACATATTTGTTTTTATTGCAACAGCACCAGCGAACGGTCGAGGCGACAAAAGTTGTCGCTGTCGTATACGTAACTAAAGTAGAAGAAGATCAGCAACTGCGTCAGCCCGAGTCTCAGCTCATGCTCATCAACGTCGCTGTCGGCGTCGCTTGCCATTTTACCAGTTAAGATCTGCGTCTCGTATCTATCGCAAAACAGTCGAAATTGTCTGCTCGTTGGTTGCACATCGCGCTCGCTTCCCGTCTTTAAACGGATCGTAGTGCCTAAGGACTACACTTGAAGGATCACCTCCTACACACACTCACACACACACACTCATTTACGTTCAATATGGCGCAAATAATCATCAGTGCTTTGTTATGTCTGGCCATGTTTGGCTCACTGGGTAAGTGAAAATGAAATTTCATAAACCAACATTTCATAGCAAAACGAAAGACTTAGGCAACAAACTTGTGCACATATGTCAGAACTCAAATTGGTTTTGGGTTCACTTTAAGCGAATCCGTTTTATTATTAAACTCAAATAATTTAAGACTAACTACAAAACAGTGTTCACCTTGTGCAAGCTGGCAAAAGCTTTAACGTCATAAAATTGTGAAAAACATAAAAATGAAAAAAGAAACAAAGTAACAAAATGAACAATTCAAATTATAAATATAATCAAATCAGGTTATTCTCAAACTCATCAGAAGTGACATTTTGAGCTTAACAAGGTATTTTAATTTATTCAATTTGTTCACATAAAAATTTAATTAAAATACTGGATTAACATCAAATAATAATAATATATATATATATATCGAAATGTATTTTTTGAAAAAGTTTAAACGCATTCGAGCTTTTATTATTATTGCCAAAAACTGTTCACATTTAAAATTGTTTTTATATTATATTTTAGCATTTTGTGAATTACACACTTTTATTTTAAATTTAGTTTTTTAACGTTTTAAACAAATTTTAATAAAACGCTTATCTCAAATGGCACGCTCGCTCTGAAACTCAAAACAATAGTAATTGCATCAATTGGAGGCGGCTCAATTAAAATTTCGAAACGAACGCCCCGCGCACTTAAGTCCCCACCTCTGAGATACCTAACAAACGGCCGACACCAACGCATTTTCCCAGCTGCACATGGAATTTGATTTAATTACACCTATATGACGGTAATTCAGTTGATCGAGCAGCGTCATCGCGCAATTAGGCAACTGCCACTGGCAGCCAGCCCATGTTGAATAGCTTTTCCAACAATACCAGGAAATGGCTTCAGATGAAAACTGTCAAAAAAGAGTGCTACTGACTGTGGCAACAAACTTGCCAATAGATTTCCGCATAGGGCTTTTGGCAAATTAGCAAATTTATTAAAGCGCAGATTGCATTTCATTCAAAATGGTAACTCAATCTCATTTCAAGGCCACATGGCAGCTCTTTCACAATAAATTCACACGCCTCGAGCGTCGCATAAATAAATTAGTACCCAAAATCAATATTACATAACATTTGCTGCTGCTGTCTCTGCTACCTGGTCCACGTTGTTTATAGATGTGCCCAGAAACTTGTTTTCGAACTGGACAGCGGCCTACTATATGAATCTCAATCTCGATGCGTGCCCAGCCGGTTGATGTGACCTTTGAGAGCTTTTGCATTCAGCAGCTTTTTGTTGTGTTTTTAGTTTTATTTATTTTTTTTTGGCCACCTCATTGGATTCGTTTTAAAACGCCAGCGTTGCACTGCAATCAAAGTATGTAGCCGCATATGCGGAATCAAGTGAACGGTGTTGACTTAAAATGTGTGGGAAAATGTTGAGCTACCGAATTTTCCAGCTCAGATTTGTTAGTTGGAAAAGCCATTTGTCAAGCTGAAGCGGGAGAACTAATATGCTTATGACGAGCACAAGTTAAATGTGGCTTGTTTTTCATGTTATCATCTGATTATCAAGATATATTATAGTAAAAGTTGATTTTGATCTAGCTAAATTAATTTAAACGTTCCTATAGAGCAAACGTTGAGATTTATATTTAATTTCTGAAAATATCTGTTGCTTTACAAATTAGTGGCAGTAGCTTACACGTTTGGAAATTTCTTTTGATGAATTTATTTTTATTTTTTTATTAATTTACTTTGTGGGTATTTACATTATTGCTGAGTCAAAACAGTAGGGTCTTTCCCAGCCCAGTTTTGGGATAATATAATAAATAGCTTAAATGTGTTATGTGGTCTTTTTGCTCCGCTTTATACAAAACATAATTCGAATTCCGAGACACAATGGATGCCCACGCGGGTTCAACAAACGGGGTGTGTGCCCACATTTAATAACCGCAAACTCATTAAAATTTCAGGCGTCACAAAAGCGTCAACAAATGACCGACAGACCAAGAAACTGACTTAGCCAAATATGTTCATGTCTTGACAATTTAATGTTGTTTTCTTGTACGCGTCTTGGCCTCTTGGCACACGTATTGGGCAAGATTTGACTTGTGAGCGCCCATTGGAGCGAGTTGGATAGTCTTTAAAAATGTTTCAAGTGGTTTGTATATTTCAATAGGATTTTTGTACATTTAAAGAGTTTTAGGGTGATGTGTAATGCCTAAAAGAAGACATCTTTGAACCCATAAAATGTATACAGCCGAGTTGATATAGTCATGCCTGCCTGACCTTTTGTCTGTTTTCATGCAAACAAGTCTTTCAGTTTTAAGGCTTATAGCATTTAATTTTAGCATAAGTGGGCAACATACTTTAATTATTAATTATTGCTTGATGTAGGCAAAATTGGTACTTAATTTGCTTACACTATTAGGAAATGTTTATATTGTATTGTTTAATTATAAAAATAATAATATTGATGATACATTTAAAATTAATTATACTTAATAATATTGTTGGCAATATAAATTATTAATAGTTATAGTTTCCTGCTAAATATATTTTGTTATGAAACAAAACAAACTATATACTGAACGAGTTATTTTTCGGCTATTATTAACTGTCCAGGTAAATAAATAGTCGGTAATACGCGTAAAAAATAAATTCGAAACATATTTGCTTGAATAAGAACTTGCTTTGCTTAAAGCTGTTGAATTGTTTGTTCATTTGCATTGAGAATAAGAAGAGATTGAAATGCAGGGATAATCGAAGCATCAGTTTTCATCATAAATCATTAGAGGTAAGCGCGAACCAAACCCAAGCCCGACCCTATTAACCCCCCACCTATCCGCCTCTCTTGCAGCCCAAGCAGCAGCCGGCGCCTGCCGCGAGGCTAATGGCACGGCTCCCGTCTCCGGCTCCTGCGATGCCTACATCGAGTGCAAGAACGGCGTCGCCGAGGAGAAGATATGCCCGGACGGATTGCTCTATAATGAGAAGTCCACTGGCTACCCATGTGGTTATCCCATCGACGTGGAGTGCGCGCAGGGTCAGTCGCGTCTGCAGGCTGCCCAGCCCACCGAAGACTGTCCGCATCAGTTTGGCTATTACCGAATGGGCGATTCGAGTCATTGCGGCCAGTTCATGAACTGCGCGTCGGGACGTGGCTTCGTGTTCGATTGCCCGGAGGGCTTGGCCTGGAATCCGGCCACCTACAAATGCGATTGGCCCGATCAGGTGGAGGATTGCGATGCCGAGGCTTTCCTCGGCTTCCGCTGCCCCGCGCCTGCCGTCAAGTCAGAGCTGTTGGGTGAGCAGGAAGAGGACTACACCTTCCATCCGTCGCCGGACAACTGCCAAGTGTACTTCATCTGCATTGAGGGCCGACCGCGTCGCATTGGCTGCGGAGAGGACCAGGCCTTCAACCAGGAGTTGAAGCAGTGCGACGACATCGACAATGTGCCCAACTGCAGCAGCGATATCCGAGCGAAGGGCGCCGAGATCAAGGCTGCACGTGCCGCCGCAGCTGCCGGTCGTCGCAAGCAGATCTAAGCGCAGGAGGGAAGGGGAACTGGTGTAGGAGCTAAAGTTAAATCAGATTGTGGATATGCAAAGCACGCCCAACGGGCTGCTCGAGTTTTCTAGTCTGTAGCTAAGGGTCTTGTGCCCGTTTATTATTGTAACTTTTGCCATGTTGCCAATAAAAATTCAGATAATTTTTGTAAAGAGTTTGTTGCCTAAGTCTTTCGTTTTGCCTTACAAATATCCCAGCCATTGATTGCGTGTTAACCTTCTGACTCTTCTCATTTCAGCACTTGCTTCGCCCGAGTGCCCCGTACCCAACGGACGCTTTGCTTCCGGCGATCAGTGCGACGCCTACACAGAATGCCAGGACGATGTGCCTGTCGCCAAGCTCTGCCCAGATGGACTGCTCTTCCATCAACGCACCAAGGCGACAGGCGAGTGCACCTATGCGCCCTACTCCACCTGCAAGGAGCGCTCGCGGCTGCAGCCTGCCAATGGCACGGACGAGTGTCCGCGCCAGTTCGGCTTCTATCCGAATGGAGATGAGACCAAGTGCGGTGTCTATCGTAACTGCGCCCATGGTGTGGCCAGCTTGACTAAATGCCCTGAGGGCTTGGCCTTTAACGAGGAGACCTATCAGTGCGACTGGCCCGATCTGGTGGGAAGCTGCAATGCGGAGGCTTTTCTCGGTTTCAACTGCCCCGCGCCGGAGCTGGTCGATGGCATTGCTCCTGAGGTCGATGTCAGTCCCGAGGGTGAGCTGCGCTACTATCGTCATCCGCAGACCTGCAAGAAGTACTTCGTGTGCGTCAATGGACATCCGCGCCTCTATAACTGCGGCAAGTACCTGGCGTTCAATGCCCAGACGAAGCTCTGTGACTTCTACAACAAAGTGCCCGAGTGCTACGCCCTGCTCAAGGAGAAGCAGAAGCAGAAGGCCGAACGCAAGGTGCCCGTCCTGGGACAGGCCCTGGAATAGGACTCTATTCCGCGCAGAGCGTGCTCATAGAGGCTGACTCTAACAGAGGCTCCCTTTTAAGTGACAGAGTTTGTACATAAATGCAAATCTTAACATTTGTTTGTGTGTTGCCTATTAAATAAATTAATCACCCTACATACTCACATAATTAGAATCGAATGACTTGCACATGTTTGAAGTCGCCCATGAATGCTTACAGTCAGGGTCGTAAGTGCTAGAGAATTTGAGATCTGAACATACACTCGTGTTTATGCAAAAAACTCCATATCCTAGCAGATTACAGTGATTCTTAGAAGATCCTATAATTTTTATATACAGATAAATGCAGTTGAGCCTTGCGATGCTAACCCGCAAATTCTTTTAAAAATCACCAGGGATATGCAGGGGCAATTCTTTGTAATAACAAAGAAGAGATCCCCCAGTATAAGGACGAAACTTCTTCAAGCAGTCAAGTCAAGGGGTCTTTTTTTTTTGTGGCCAAATTACATCGGAATCAGATAGTCCACGTCCTCCTGTTCAAATGTAGACAACTGGAAGAACGATTGTTCTTCAAGCAGCTCAGAAAATATGTGTTTTTCTTGTAAAGAAAATAAATGACTATAACGACAGGATTCGCAAGAATGTAGCTGTGTTATAAGCTATTTTCTGTGGACAAAATATGGCCCATGGCTCTTTAAAAAAGTTTCGTGTCTTTCTTCGAATATGTTCAATTGGGAACTATTTGTTGGCCAAAGCACAAGGAATATCCCAGGAAACGGGAAAGTGATAGCAGCTTTTTTGATTCATGTCCTATTGGGAAATACAAATATATCTCAGTTATTTACTGATAAATTTTCAAAGGACAGAATAATAATAATAATATAATGTTGATATGAAATCTATATATGTATTATTAAATATATAGTAAAGAGATAGGAATTAATTGTGCAGTTATCATTATAAAGTATAATTTAGCGAATTGGTATATGCATGCACGCTCAAAAGTATGCAATGGTATTTATGTCAAAAGCGCCCTCTGTCGACATTATTTTCAACTCTTTCTGCTGCTAGCTAAATCAGTTAATGTTTGAAAAGGAAAATATATATATATATACTATATTTCAGCACCAATTATTTACCAACAATAATTTTGGATAACTGTTATGTATATCTATCTATATATATGCATTAAATTCCAATAAAAAATTTTTATGCAAAAATCTGTTTAATTAATAAAATTTTAATTACAATTAGATTGCAACGATTTCAAAGGGAACTTAGTCGAGATAATCAAAAATTATACTTTTCGTATTTCGAGGTTTGACCTACAATGAAAATAGATATATAGATTTACTCTTGAGGACTGTAACTTGTTTGTTTTAAAGATTTCCTTATCAAATTCACAAATTATGAGCTCTAGAGTCCTTTTAGAATAAAGTTGAAGACATCTGAAAAAATGCTTGTATATTTAATTCTTCTTCGTCTTCGGCAACATAAAGAAACGTCAGTTTTATTTGCTTTCCTAATGTTTTTAATTTGAATTTTTATTGTTGCTTGCAACTGTTTTTTTCTGTCTCAATAATTTATGAGGCTAACTTATAGGGGATGAAAACATAAGATGAAAGAAGCTACAGCTAATTAATAATAATTTTAGGCGAAGACTTGATGATAAATTGAATTATTGGCTAGCTTAATATAGTTAAGTTAAGCATAGTTCGAGCACTTAAGTACATTCGCTTTAGCTTCAACTCAATTAACTAACTAACTGCGACTAAAACTAATGGCAGCGTATTTAAGTTATTTAGCTTACGATTAAATTACGGATGCATTGAAAATGAATTTAAATAAATTGAAATTAATTACAGAAAGCTATGAAGTGGGTGCTGTACGAATGTGAACTAGTTCTAATTTGTCCGTTCATTTGAGAGGTTTCTCGATGCTGTGTGGTACTTAGAAGCTATATAGCCTTGTAGCTGGGAACTATCTGCAGCCGCAGGACTCGACGACCATGTTGGGCAGCGTCTTGATTGTCGCCGAGTTGTTGGAGTCCAAAACGACCAACTGCAGCGAGGAATACTGTTTGGCGGTACAGCAGGGTATCAGATCCAACGGCTTGCGTGTACCATTTGTGGAAAGGATTTTCTACAAAGCCAAATTCAAAGGATTAGCACATAAAACAAGGTACTCAAAGTCGAGTTGAAACCCACCAGCAATGAGCTGTGATGCGAAGCCGCCTGGGCAACACTCGCCACGGAGCTGCAGGAGCCGCGACAAAAGTACGCATCGTAGCCCTTCGGCTGCATTATCCAATTGTCCCAGCCGATGTCCGCGAATGATATATAGAGCTTCTCGCGGCAGCATTCGGTGACGCCGCTGGAACAGTTGATGTTTCGCTTCTGTCGCGATTTGCTGCGACGATTCTGTGTGTCGATCATTATGAAGGGTCTATAGTTCTTGTCGACAGATATGATCTCCTCCATGCTCTCGATGTCGCACGATTCGCACGTGATCTGTATGAGATGGCTGAGCTCGTGATTGCCGAACCAGCGCTTGATTGGCCACTCAATATTGATTTTCATCCATTCATCTGAAGCGAGTGGAGAAGAAAACAAGTTGAAATTAACTTGAGAGTTGAAAAGAAATTAAAATTATTGATGGAAATTCTTGCTATCAACCCTCCGATTATTATGAATGTTCTATTTTTACGCATTGTTTGTTTTATTTTCTGTCTTGGCCCTGCAATTCGAAGAGCTAACAATCTATGGTAACTGGGTTTTTACCATAGCTAGCTCAGCGCTTGCAGTTTCTCTTGACTAAGCATAATTAATTGGATTCATTTTGTATATATTTTGTTGCTGGTTGTCTTGTGTTGGGCTCACCTTTGCTAATCTACAGCTGGTAAAATTTGAGAGCGAGACCAAAGTTCAATTTTGGCATGACAAAAACATAATATATATGTATGTTTGTATGGAAATTAATAAGTATAAAATTTATTTTTGATTTCGTAGCCAAGTTATTCACCCACAATCCCCGGACAGCGGCCCGTGCATGCTATCAATGATCTTTCGACCAACGGACGTACAAGAATAACAACAACAGCGAAATAAACAGTTGCTAATGAACATTCACTTATCGGCGTACTACTATCATAATCCACATATAATATAAGAGATTGCGTTCCGCTGCATTCGCTCACCTTGCACATCCACCGACTGTATGGCTATGGTCTTGGCCAGCGGCAGGTATTTGGCGTCCAGCTGCTGCTCCACCTCGGATACCACCAGCGTCTGCTTCTTCTGCACCCCATTCAGCTGGCTATCATTGCTCGACTTGGTGTAGTTGTGCTTGTTCTTATAAAGCCACAGCACAGCGCTGCTCACATCAAATCCATCCGCATCCGCATCATCGATCTTGAAGCTGAAGCACATGGACGGATGTGCGCCCAGGCGACGGCACTCGGTTTCTTCTGTAATCGAGAAAATAAATTGAAGGATCTTTAAATGTTTTCTATAAATCAAAATATTGAATATCAAAATACTTAGTTTAGCAATATATAGACCCAGTAATCTTATGCAAGGGATAAGAAATTATAGGCTTGAGAGAATTCAAACAAGCCCCGAGTCTAGAAAGTGTCTCAATATTATTTTCTTTGGAATATATTTCTTTCGAGCTTGAAAACGTTAATAAGAGGCAAAATGAGACTTCCTAATTTAAGGGAAAGTAAACTTTAACGCGAGGCTCTTCTCTCATAAGGTCAATTTTGACTTTGTGTATATTGTGAATAAGTTTGTGAAGGACTTACCTCGTTGCAGGAGTATAAATTTCTGATTGGTGCGCGCATAGTAGTCATCGTAGTCCTTGTTCTTGCCGGACTCCTCCGCATGCTGGAGCGTTACGCCCTCGAAAATGGGCCTGGGCAGCTCCACGGCCGAGACCTTGGGGCTCTCCTTGAGGCGCAGCTTCTCGAGAATTTGCTGCTTGACAAACTCAATGCGCAGCCGGCGCAATTCCTCCTCGGTGATGTGCTCCACCTGGCGACTGCTCTCGCACTTGGGACAGCCACTGGAGGCTGTGGCATTTGTGTGGCTGCTCACATTGTGCTCTGGCGCAGAGTCATCTATCACAGCTGGTGGCGCTGGTTCTGCCAGGCTGAGTTGCAGCTCGTTCTTGACATAGTCCTGCTGATCCTCAAGTGACATGAGCTCGTCGGCTGGCGCGTCGTTAAACATTTGCGGAAAGTCCTCATCCGGTTCTTGCAGCTCCTCCTCCGCCTCCTGGCTCTGGCGCAGCTCATCAAACTGATAGCCCTGGCTGAGCAGCTGCCACAGATTGGGACTGGTCTTGAGCTGTTCGGGCGTAACCCGATGATAGCTGCGCTCCTGCTGCAGCAAATGGTCGCGCTGCCGACGCAGATGACGCCGCAGTCGCTGGTCGTAGTGCAGCTGCAGTTCCTCCTCCTCGCTGCTCGGGTCCGGTGCAATACGCTTGGGCTGCCGATTGCGCTGCTGGCGTGTATGATGCTGCTGCAGCTGCTGCACATGCTGATGCTGCTGTTGCTGATGCGGCTGGTGGCGGGGATGTGGATGTGCCCGGACCAGTGGCATGCTACCCGGCTCATCGGAGGCGCTTGGGTGCGATCGCGCGTAGATGTTGTTGTTCTCCAGGGCCAAGCACAGCAGCAGCGCCAGAGTCATGTAGTATTTGGCCATTTTTGCCTGCTTTTTGTTCGGCTTTCTTGCTCAAAATTTGTTTTGATTTTTTTTTTTTTTTTTTTTGGTTTGGTTTGGTTTGGGTAAGAACTAGAACTTGCTACACTCTTTGCCTTGGGGCTAATTGTTATCTGTTTGGCAGCAATTGAAACTCAATGTTCGTAGTCCTTTGGCTTACAAGAATCATAGAATTGCAGCTTTGCGCACTAATTTTTGCCGTTTTGTTAACTTGTTGTTGCACTTTTGAATTAATTAGAAATTGTCTATATTTGTATCTCAATTTTTATTTTACTTAAAGCAGCATTTTGTAGAATTGAAAAACTTTATACTTTTTTTTGTTGTAATTTTCAATAACTCGCTGCAAGCTGTAAATAGAAAAGTTAGAAGAAACTGTTAGAAGTTACATGAATTAAAATTAGTCATTGATAATTATATTAGGGTTCAACTGCTTTTAATTTCTTAATCAATTTTTAAGACAAGTTCATATATTTGAATACGAAAGCTTTCAACATGTTACCAAAACTTCTTCTTAGCTTACCTCAGTGTTTGAGCACCTATTTGTAATGAATTGATGCACGAATTGAATTGAATCGTTTTTCTTGGCACACAAATTGGTTGTTTTTCCAATCGGACACGCGGCAAAGTGCAGGGAATTTTCATTTGAATCAAATTTTTTTTCAATATTTTTTTTTAATTGCAAATGAAATTGCAAAACGTTGCAATTAAAAAGCAATATTAAAAATTGTAATTGACATTATCGCAGCAGTTCGGAAACTGCGCACCATACAAAAAAAAAAAAAAAAAATTAATAAATTGCGCCTGTCAATCACAACGAGGGTGATTAAACGGAACTTCGAGACGCAAGTCTGTGCATCAAGTATACGCCGTGTTGGGCGTGCAATTAATTAAAGGGACCACACGTACCGTAGAGCACATTTATTTAAATTTTATGACTCGACAAGTAGATCCAGATCCAGAGTTTATTGGGGTGGCAGCAGCAGCACAGCTGGGGTCAAGCTTCGATCCCGGACGCGACACACGAAATACGAAACACGAAACACGAAGCACAAAGCACGAAGCACAACGCACGAAGGGCAAGATATGATTAGTTGTGTAAGTTTTTGTCGATTTGCCATGCGACAGCGCAAACGAGTTGTGAATGAATGAGCCGCCTGCCTGATTAGTAGAACAATTTATGTGTGCGAAGTCGCCGCTGCAATTGATTGATCGCCGTTAAACAGAGGCAATGAGAGAGAGAGACAGAGAGAGCGAGCGAGAGAGGGGCAGCGAGAGCGCATACGCAGTCGGAGAGCAGACGGCACGAGCTCGCCCAGCCGGCGCACGAAAGCGCCACGAGCGTGTGCTTCGCTCGTTTTTCCCACAGCTTGCCTGCCTCCTTGCCCCCCTCGGCGCGCAGACACAGCCATGTGCCCCCCACCATTCTCATGGTACGCTTTCGGCGAGCTGCAGACAAGGCAATTCATATGCAAATTCTGTGTCTCATTGCATCAGCTAAAGAAGACGGCGTCCGCGACGCTAACGACGACGTCGGCGCAGCTGCTGCCAACAGCGCATAAAAAAAAAAATTGCATAAATTGTGAGTTAATTGTTTTTGGTTCCGTTTAATTTGATTATTTTTGGTTTTTGCACCTGCAAGCTTCACGATCAGTAGGAGCGCCTAGCTGCACAGTGATTCAATCACGCGCATTCCCCCGTTTCGCTGTGATTGTCAATCAGATTGTGTGTCAATCAATCAGGAGCGAACACGTTGCTGATAAGCGAATTGCTCAATTCGCTCCATAAAATCATTTTTATGAGGCCTACATGAAACATGTCACACATATTCCCGCACAAATCACAAAGTACCGCTACTCGTGTGGCTTACGAAGGCAATATAAAATGATGTGTGTGTGCGTGTATTTAACTGTATTAAATGGGCTACATGATTGATGCTTAATCGCTTTGCACCGAGCCGCTAATCGGACTGATTATGCTGCGATTAAAAACGGAAACAGAAACAAGCGCATAGCTAATGATCCAGTTCGAATTAATTGACCTTGTTACGCTTAATATGTATTTGTGTAGAATTACATGCGATATATTAGTATGGTAATTTACCAATTTCAATCAAAAAGAAAGCATTTTAAGTTGACTTTAATAAAATATAAATTTCATCAGCCAAGCCACGAAATGTGTGTACGTGATGCATAGCAAAAGAATCGCCAAATATTTAACTTATGCGCAGTGCGCGAGAAGAGCGAGTAAAACAGAGAGAGAGAGAGAAAGAGCGAGAGCGAGAGAGAGGTCAAAATCGATGTCAAGATCATTCTCCATAAAAGTTCAAGTTTTTAAAAACTGTTTTTATCATACTTTTTTATCATACTTAGCCCTGTTCTGATTTCCACTTTTAACAGCAACATTTCTTGTAGCCTACTTAACAAGAGCTTATAAATATTTAAGTTTTGGTTCGCCTGAAAAGTATGCAAGGGATTTATACATTTTATCAAGCAATTAATGTTGTTATCCAAGTGTCGAAATACACACGAATTGTTTAATTAATCGATACAGCTATAATCAGTAAATCTTGATTAATATGTATTGATTATATGTATGTAAAATTGGGTCATTTATTTTCTTTTGTAGTTTTTTAATATAGGCTTATATTACCGTTCTTTTCTGCATTTCCAATGCAGAGTACCGTTATGTTTATTAGTGTGTTTGTTTTTTAAGCATAAGCATCATCAGGCGTCACATTGCAATTGCGCAAACTTGGATGATCTTTAAGTGTTTTTCCGTAATTGAATGTGACGTCGATTACCACATTGATGTGTTTAGTGGCGACACGTGACATGCGGCATAGTTTTTGACGTAACATAAATAATCATAGTAAAGTGGAAACGATCGAAAAGGGTATCAGAGTTCAATCAATCAGTGGCGTGCGACTAAAGCAGGCGCCGCTGAAGGGCCAAGGGAACACGGCAGCTGCGAGCCGAAGAAGGTTACAAGCTGACACTTCATTAAATGGAGCAGCGCTTGACGCAGCGCCGCAGTCGACGTCGCCGTCAACGTATCGAACAAGCTGGCTACGTCACCGAACACGCAAGCAAAGCGTGATGCAGCCAAGCAACCAGCCGGCAGCCAGAAAGAGACAGCTGCTGCGTGGAAGTAGAAGTTGGAAGCATAAGCAGAAGAGTTGCGGAGAGTTGCGTTGAGAGAGCTGCAAGCTGGGTGTAAAGTACAAATGAAGATTGGCTAGCGTCTGGGGGTTTTCCATGCGCCGCTGCGTTCGTATCAATTGCGGGACGGACGTATCGTTAATGGCGATACTCTACACAAGTGCAGCGCCTCGAGCTGCAGTTGAACGCACTGCAAAAATGTTCCTTTTTGCTTGGCAATTTTTGCGTTTTATTTTTGGTTTTTGGACAAAGTGCTCTCACTCTACCCCCCCCTCCCCCCTCTCTCTCTCGCCATCGCTCGTTCTCTCCCTCTCTCTGTCAGTCTGCGTCTCTCTCTTTCTCTATCTTCATATTGTTGTAGCGAATGCGCGTTGTGCTGTGATCAGCGTATTGGAGCATGCCGCAGTGTGAACTTTGGAATCGCACACGAAGATTGCTCCGATTTGCTGAGTTATAGCAAAATCCACTTGATACGTTTAATACACTTTTCATTTGTTCATTTTCATTTTGCCACACGCTAACAATTAGGTGCCAAGCTGTCAGGATTTTCAAAGAATTATTGCGCTATTTGAAATTAAATAAATCTCGACCAGCCATAAATCTTATATAAGCCTCACACTTGGGGCCCACTCTTTTTATTTTGCACACGTTTTACCAAATACACTGAAGGTTGTTTGAGGTTATGTTAGCAACATGGTGGTCGTTCCAATATGGCGGCCTTGTCCAAATGTCAGACTCATCGAACCATCAATCATTGTTTAACTAGCTAATCAATTTTATCAATATATTAACTACTTAAATTAAACTTTAATTCAATACTAAAATAATAAGATTGATAACAATAAGTTAGAATGAAATTTAAAATTAGAAAATTACACGTCTAACGTTTATTCAAACAAGCATTAAATGCGCCAAGAAAATTATTAGTCATTAAGCATGATTGGCCACATAAATTAAGAATTTTTAATTGTTATTAAATCAGTTTATTTCATTTTTTATTTAAGAAAACAGCGCACGCCTAGGCGATTAGCAGGCGGTTGTTATATATTTAGCAGGCGAACCAAAAAATAATTCGGTGCCGTCAACTGTCAACACATAAGCTTTGTTGGCAATTTGTTAAAATTTATTAATTATACTATCATATTTTTTGGGTTTTTTCTTTTTCTGCTAATCTATGAAAATGGATTTCTTATTTCAATATACATTGCCATAAAATAATAAACTAAAGTAATTAAAAAAACGATTTATTATATAACTTACCTACTAAAGAAATCCTTTACAACAATTAAGATATTCAAATATTGTTCGATTGTGTTGATTTTATTTTGAAAATGTTTTTGAGTAGTCCAAGCTATTTATTTATTGTGCAAATCATTTGCACAAAATAATCATTGTTGTTAATTAAGTATTTCACCATTTGAACTTGTGCACTTTTGCAATGGCAATGACAAGCGTTTTTTTTTTTATTTTTGATTTTGTTAATTTGTTTTTATATATTATGCGTAATAAAAATAATTGGGGTTACGCTTATATTTCAATACTTTTTATTTAACTCCTTCTATGAGCACATTTTTTTTTGATAGTTTCGATGATTTAACACTTTTCCTTGTCCAAAATTATGTGTAGACCTCAATTTGTTAGAGCAACCTTTTTTTGGTTCGATCCGAGCAGTCAGAACGTCTGCGTGTGAATAATTCGATGCTGGGCAGCCAGCGACCGCAAAGACTGCTGCCTTGGTTTGGTTCGGGCTGGTTCTGGTCTGTGTCTGTGCCTGTGTGTTTGTGTGTGTGTGTGTGTGTTTGTGTGTGTGTGTGTGTGTTTGGGGCTCTCGAGCTTCACTTAGGGGCAGAGCGCCCAAAGGTGAGTGGGCGAGTGCGAGTGCGAGAGAGCGAACGCGAGAGTGTGCGTATTGTTATGGTATTGTTTGATAACAGCGATATCAATGCTCGGCATCGGTGTGAAGGCACATTAAATGATGCGCAATTTTAAATGTTTCATTAATCAAGGAGAGGACGAGCGCTTGTGAAAGAGAGCGCTATCAACGTGTGTATGTGATAAGGAAATGCCTGGCTCATTGTTGCTGGCTGGCTTTCCCCCAACGATGAATCCGATCTGCGCGGCGGTTGGGAAGCACGCCGACAATTCAAAAGTCCGGTTGCAACCTGTTCGTTTTTCGCGTTCGAGCATGTCGGACAGCACTGTTGCGAATCGAGCTCATACAAAACGTGAGCTGTCCGCTGCGTTGCAACACTCATACAACGCTGACGTCGTCGTCGCACTGTTGGGGCGGTTGGTATCTGTATCTGCGCCCCGAGCAGGTCCAAAGTTCGAACTTCAGCCTCTTTGTCATCGTCGTCGTCGTCGTCGTCGTCAAGTGTTTGATTCTTGACCGTTATTTAATGATGTCAATTTCTAACGCTCTCCCCTTGCGGTGCGTTGAATGGCATATTGCAATTCTCAATCGGCAAATTTTCTATTTCCGTTTTGTTTTTTTTTCGGCGCGTGTTTCGATTATTATTTACGATGCGATTGCTGAGTGTTTTGATATAATTTTGGTTAAGCATTTATTATGATTGATTAGCATTTTATTGATCAACTTTTCACGCTCTGCGTGCATGGGCCTGGTTTTGAGGCGTCTTTTATAAGATTAGTATTTGTTTATTTAGCCATCATCTTGTTCAATATCAGCTGATAAAATTATTGGATTTTCTTTCATATATGATTGTTTTTTGTCAGTAGAATTTCAAAGTCAAGCTACTCCCCAAGACCACAAATTATACGGGGGCACACGCGCCTGTTCCGCAGCACGTCACTGAAGCTTATCGCGGCCGCGCCTCTGAAATCTATAATCTATACTATATACTTATGTATGTATGTACAAATGTTCTTGGCTAGTTTTCTAATGCTCCATGGTTCTTCCTTGCAAAGGGTATTCGAGAATCACCGCAGTGTTTGCACAGTTCCCAACGACATTAAATAAGAATCTTTGAATCTTTGAAACATGTTACAGAGTATTTCTTGGTCGGCGCTTATATATTTCTGCTCCATTTTGACAATCATCAAAGGAATAAATTATATAAGAATTAAATACTGTAAACAAGCAGCAAACAGTTTGTTTTTACTAAATATAATATTATTATTTCCATAAATAAATAAAGCGAGATAGAAAGATTTAGAATGAACGAGCAAGAATCAGTAACTGCAGAGACTTTTGATTATAGATGGATTCCTTGTTGACAACCGGAAAGTGCCCAGACGTACTTCAAATGAACCATTGATAACCAATTGATAACACCCACGACTTTCGAATTAATTAACAACAACAGCAAGAAAACAAAAATTAAAAATACACAAAGTAATAATTAAAATGAGTAGGCGGCAAAGCGAAAAGAACGCAAATAAACTAAGTTTATTTTCTGGTGCCAAACAAATTAAATACACAAAATATCTAGGACATGACCATAAAAATCCACAGAGCAATAAGCATTAAGAAAATATTAATTTATATCTAAGATATAATAAAATTGGTTTAAAATAAGGATTCTCCTAAATGAACCAATTAAATTATAGTTCTGCTAAAAAGCTCGTAACTCATATAGAGATATATATTTATTTATTTAAAAATAAAATAGTTGTATTAGAAAAAATATGTAAGGGTATTCACTCGGCGATGCTTTTATGTTTTTCTTTGATTATATTGCCCATCTTGCCAATGAAAAAAAAATAAAAACTAAATGGAAAATTCAAATTGGGCAAGTCGAAATGGGAATGCTCTTTAAGTAAAACTGACAATTCTATAAACAAAATTCTTATTTAATAAAAATATTTCTTTTGACTGACATTTTTGACAATATTTCTCTAGTTTTATTGCCAACTCAACGTTTTGAGTGGCTTATAAAAGGCCACATGCCCGACTTACGGCAGCGTATACTCATGAGTAATTAACACATTTTATGGCCCCCTATCAAACAGATCATGGCCAAGATTCAAGATGACACACGCGCCAAAAAAAACTGAATCATTACCGTGGGCTGTGCCGGTAGGTATACATATATGACATATATATGTACAATATGTATTTTATGTGGGCATTTAGCATGTGCCTATGGAACGGGAAGGGATGCGGCGGAAGCTGTGCATGTGAACTTGGCGTGAATCCTGAAATCACGAAAGATAAATGCGTGCTAAATATAATTCAATACTTAAGGCAATGGGGCAAAGGTTTGTTGATCAAAAACATAAATCATGAAGAGCTCACAGAAATTTTCCACGATTGGCTTCTACATATTGAAAGCGAGAGTAGTTGCTGCGTGTGTGTGTGTGTGTGTGTGTGTGTGTGTGTTAGTGCGTTTGTGTTTGTGACGCAGCAAACGATATTGAGAATACGCCATAGCCAAATGACTTTTGGACTTTGTAGCCACTTGGTGCATTGGCAGACGCTCGAGAGACACTCGACCGGCCATGCCCGGCGACTACATTGTGTTAATATTTTAATTGAAATGCGCATGTACACACCCCGATAAATACACTGAGCGAAACGTCAGTATAAATTCTGATATAATTGAGATTAAAATCAAAAGCGATTCAAAATGGTGAAAGAAAATAAAGACAAGCTAATAGAACTTTTTATAAGAATTAGGATTTTCCATGGGAATAAATACATGATGTATTTTCCAAATTTTTCTTCAATTGAGAACTGTGTACTTAACTCTTATGATTTTCTCTGAGTGCATTCTAAATATATATATATATATAATTATATATATATATACATGGCTGCTCTTCTTTTTATTGTGCCTACATGATGCCAAAGTCCATTTACGAGTCATGCGGCAGACGTGTGAACCGGCACCAGAACCCGCACAGCAACCCAAAAAGAATTGTAAAGATCGTGTGGGAAATGCGTTTGCTCTCAATTCGTTTCAATCTCAATTTCAATTTCAATGCATCGCAGATCAATTGATCTGAACTGCCCCGCACTGGGCACGCGTCCAGCTCGTGCTCGTTTCCCAATGCTGCCGCCCCCTTTTTATACCCTGAACCCATTAAAAATAGGTATAAGGGTATATTGTATTTGTGCAAAATCCAAATGTATGTAACAGGAAAAAGGAACCATCTCCGACCCCATAAAGTATATATATTCTTGATCAGCACCAATAGCCGAGTCGATCGCGCCATGTCCGTGAACGCAAGGATCTCAGAACATATAGGAGCTATAGACTTGAAATTTTAGATGTAGGTGCTCCTAGTGCCTGCGCAGATCGAGTTTGCTTCCGATAATCGATAACTTACTCCGTTTCCAAGCAGTCGATAAAAATCGATATCGATATCCTGTTTTTTGGGCAATTTTGGTAAATAATAAGAGCTAGAGTCCCCAAACTTGACATATAGCTTCTAAAATAGAATATATATATGCATTTGATGTTGGAAGAAGAGGGTTCAGAGTATTCCCTAGTCGGGAGCTCCCGACTAGAACCTCTTACTTGTTTTTTTTGAGGCCGGCCTCAATGGAAAGATGACGCAAAGATCTGCTGCTCGATGACGCCCTATCCTCATTTGTGTACCATCCGCAGGTGACGTGGTCAACTTTTCTTCGAAAATAAACCAACGCCCAAGCCAGAATGCTTAAAATAGATCTCTGGCAAATGAAATCTGTGCGTAATTTGGTTTTATTATGTGGTCAGCGGGTGCTAATTGCCAGATAGTTGGCACCGCTGACATCCGAATCGTGTGGTTCTGCATGCGACAAATCAACCACATTCGTGATTATACTAATTATAAATACAAATATTTGCGTGCCCCTAGGTCCAGCACGGGTGCTCTTGATTGTGAGAAACACGAGCTTTGCTTCCAGGAAATAATTGACAGGTTCATTAACAGGCCTACCCCGACCGGCGTTTGAAGGATCTCTGGCAACGTTAATAAAAACATATATAGGTAACGTATATTATTATTACATTATTATTATTATCAGATTGGGATATTTTGAGTTTGTTAATTGACTAGGTCACGTAGACAACCTATCTAAATACGATATATAATATATTAACAATGATGGTAATAATAATAATGTTTACAATAATAATAATAACATGAATAATAATAACATTATTAACTTTTAAATCAAGAATAAAAGTATTATGAATTATTATTATAATTACTATTGTCATTATTATTATTAATTAATTTATGATAATATTCGTATATTTCTTGTATTTCGTGACGCCTAATTCAAAACGAGCGAACTCACTAAGGCAGTCATAGTTTGGGGTCTTTGAAGGGGTTAAATAAGCTGAAATTGTGTCTATTGAAATACACATACGATGAAATAATGAAACTGTTAATGTCTATTTTAGGAACATCCTGATTGAGCGATTAAAATATAATTCAAGAAGAGAATTGATGATTAAATGAATGATGAATTAAAAGTCTTCTGTTCTTGCAATTTTAAGTGTTCCAATGTCATAAATGATCCTTAATTAAAAACAAGGATAGAATTAGCAGCACTTTGTGTTTTTTTTTTTTCAAAGCTACGGTAACTAGTTGAATTGAACCGATTAGATGTATTAATAATTACTTGAACATAAGTGGTGCACTGGCATCTAATGAAAAGATTAGAGCCTATTCAAAGTTTAAACCAAATGAGTTTTCTAGCGATAAGCTAAATTGATACAATTTACGCTGCTTGTTGGTT